CACAATTTCGATTTTATTTACATTTTATAGACCTGTTGCACATACTTCGCGGTAGGTTCGTTCGTGAAGTATATTCTAGTTGCAGACGCCAACCAAAAAGTGTTTTTAAAAACTTTAACCAATAGATCTACTTAAATCTGATTAACTATAGGGTGCTAAATGGTATCTGGTTATTAATTTTTATGCATCGTCCGCAATAACCTCATCCGTTACTTTTTACCCGATACAATATAATCTTCTTCTACATTTCCTTATCTCCTGATGTTTGTTTTCCCTTTGGTTTTTTTAATTCGTAGTACAAGAAAAGTTTTTGAAGCTACCATATGTTCCTAATTTGGGCCTTGCACTTCACTAACAATTGCCGTTATCCCTGTACATTGTAGGCTTCCGGGCAAAATTACATTTCTCCATCATTAGTTTCTATCTTGGGTCACATCAAAATCAATACCCTTTACCGATATGTCCTGTCTAAGCAACTCCTAACAGATCTTCTTTGGTGTTCCTCTCCTACTGCGTCCAGGAGCTTGTAAACCAGCAATTATTCGTATAGGGTGAATAACGTCTCGGCGTTGAACATGACTAAACCCTCTTAACCTATTCTTCTTCTTCAAGTGCCCTGTCCGTTGCGAACGTTGGCCGAACTACTTCCGCAAATTTTGGAGTCATGAGTGTCTTCTTCTGTCTTGCCCTCGTTTACTGTCTATTTTTTCCTGCACAATCAATTGCAGTAGACGGTATTTATCGTGTCTCAATATGTGGCCTAGAGATTCAAGCTTTTTTTTGTTTAATTGTACTCACGATTTCTTTCCCCCTTTCCGACTCTTTGGATTACCTCTATGTTGGTGACATGTTCGGTCCACGACTAAAAATGCGTCGGTACACCCACATTTCGAATGCTTCTAGTTTTCTCGTGAGCGTCTCTGTCAGCGTCCAGGCCTCCACACCATACAATAAGATCGGAAAATGTAGAATTTAACTAGACGCAGTTTTAGGGGAAGAGATATAACCTTGCTTATGAGGAACTTTTTCATATTGTTAAATGCTGATCTAGCTCGTTCTATTCTCGCCTTAATTTTTGTGGCCTGTTCTCATTTTGCATTTACGTTGGTGTCAAGATACACATAAGATTCTACATGGTCAATTAGTATGTTACTTATCCGTAATTGTCGAGCAGGTTGTTGCTTTTTGCTTATCAGCATCCACTTTGTCCTCTTGAAGTCGAATCTCATGCCGTATTCTTCAATAACTAAATAAACTCTTTCTATTACCTGTTGTAATTCGTGGTATTACCTGTTGTAATAATACATGGTACCTATGGTACTGGCGAGGATCACCGTGTCGTCGGCATATCTTATATTGTTCGTTAACTCACCGTTTATTTAAATATTGAATAGGAGTGGGGATACCCCTGACGGTCACCTCTTTTGATCTGCACACTAGTGATGTATCGCATTCGCGAATATTCGCATATTTTTGCTTATTCGCATTTGCATTCGCATTCGCAAAATTTGTGCGAATGTTTTGCGAATATTACACAGCTTGCATTTAGCTCGTTCAGTATGGAAAAGTGGTGAAAAATAAGTCCATATTTCACTATAATTTGATTTACTCATAGTAATAAATCGCTAATCACACTTTAACTAAAAATTCACTTGTATTTGTGCACGAGCAGAGCAGGGCAAGTGGAGTGACTTGTGTCCCGTGAAATTTTTATTGGAACTATAACCAGAGAACTTAGTTCTCTGCTATAACTTTCTCTCTATAACAAGTCAAATTTGATTATAACAAGAGAAGATAAGATCGAAATACGTGCTTTCTACGTTTTTGGCCCGGACGCATCGAGCAAAAAGACAATAGAGGGAATTTAAAGGTAGTGGGGGCAAACATATTGTTAGACAGGAAGTGCTATCTTTAGAGGCCACATTAAACAAGGAAAGAGAGTCTCTCTCCTTGTTTGACATCAAATTTAGTTGGGTTATGTTATTGTTTGTCCCAAATGGCACATGAAATCTTATTTATATTGAAGTTTTTTATCAATTGTGTCGCATTTTAGACTCTTATCATTAATAATTAATTAAAACTTTCTCGTCTAAGACACATTCTGCGAAATATTATATAGCTACTTTTGATAAGTGTCGGAAAATTTAAATTTGGCGCATTCGCATTTCCGGATATGTCCGCCATCAGAGGCCACTTTTTTGGTCTCCTTGCTTTTCATAAGGATTAGATTCCCTCTTTTGTCTTATTGCTCGATGCCCGGACGTGACTATAAATAAATACCTTTTTAAACGACCCCTCAATAAACTTAACCGCCTACAATAAACTTCTTTACAATAAATACAACTGTTTCACATCTTTACTTTAGCAAATATGATAGAATGATACTGGACAATTTAAAGCAGTTAAAAATGACAGACTTTTTCCAATTGCCTACACACCTCGCGCAAATGAGACTGCCGGCAGTGCCGGAGACAATTAAAATTGCCAAATTAAAAAAAAACTGAATATTCGCATTCGCGAATGTCGGTGGCATATATTCGCATTCGCGAATGTTTAAAAATGACATTTGTTACATCACTACTGCACACTACCAGATAGTTTGTTGCCAATTTTTGCTCTTGTTGTTTGACCCCAGTATAGGTTTTTTACAATTCGAATGTCCTTCGCCCTTCAATTAAATGCCCTTTCATTTATCATATATTCTTCTGTGAATGATCTTAGTGAACGCTTTAATGACATGATTGATCAAGCTTGTAAGCCGGTAGTCATCACAGATCTGGGCATTTGGTTTCTTCGGATTGTAATAAATGTTAACTGCAGCTAGTTCTCCAGGATTTTACCGCTATTACATATGTTGTAAAAAAGTACAACTAGATTATCAAGGAACTGTTTGTTTGATTTACATAGGATCTTTAATATTTAGCAGGGTACATTGTCCGGACCTGCTGACTTATTGTTTTTTAGTGCTGCAATGGCATTTTCTATCTCCGATATAAGGATTGAAGGTCCTGTTTCCCCTTCTCCATATAGGTGATCATCAGTCCTGTAAGATGCAAATAAGTTTTCTATGTATGATTTCCATGTTTCTAAGATCGTTGATGGCTCCGAGATAAGATTTCCATCGCTATCTTTTATGCTCTTGGGTGACTCATTAAATTTCCTCTTGTTTGTTATTGATTTTATTTTTTTTGCGCATATTGTAACTGTCGTATTTCCGTTCGTATTGTTCTATTTCCCTGCATTCGTTGGAAAAACATTTTTCTTTGGCTTCTCGAATTTTCCTTCTTATGATTTTGTGGATCTGCTGGTATTTTTCTGAATTTTTATTCTTGAATTTACGTCTTTCATCCATCATATCCATTATCTCATCAGACAACCATTCGTCGCGCATGTTGTTTGGATTGCTTCCCTCGATTTATCCAATCTCTCTGTTATGTCCGACGTGTTCTCGTTAATGTCGTTTATTTTCTTTCCTAGTTGTTCTCGTACTTTTATTTCGGTTTCTGGGTTAGTGAGTTTCTTAATATCAATTGTGTTTAAATTAGATCTTTTCTCGAGCCGTTTTACTCTTATGACCATTCTGCATACCAGGTCCGTAGGAACATCGGCACCAGGGTACTTTTTGATGATTTTATCATGTTTTTATATTTTGTTGGTACTGCTATATAATCTATTTGTACTGCTATTTAATCTTTTGTAAATTAATGTCAACATTTCCGAAAGTCTCCTTCGTGTATTGGGACCGTGCAAGTTCGGAACAGCGACACCTAAAATCAGCAAAATTTACTGCGCTTTCATGTTAGATAGAGGTTACCGGATAACTGTCAAGGACGTGGCCCCAAAAAAGAATAAGAAGAACAAGTAAGATTGAGGTTATGTCGGTATGTTATTAAAAGGTCAACGTTGATGTAGCGTAAATACAAATAAATATATTATTGAATTACAGCATTACTGTTAATATGGATGCAATAATAAAAACTGGATTTGAGAAAGTAAATCACCAAATAACTTTTCAACCAAGCACTGAGTCAAAGGGAAAAGCTTTAGTAGTGGCAAATGTCAAAAAAGAATGGAAGAATTAAGAACAATTAATTCTTTCCCTGTAAACTTTTGCACAGCGAATATATCTTAATGCATCTTCAGAAAAACTTGAACTTGATGCATTTTTATAAACTTCAAAAAAATAATATTTAAACATTAAACTTGATTTTTGGGTTAAAATGAACTCTAAGTGAGTGTTATGAAACTAAAATTTACACTTAACTTTTATTTATTTCAAACTGACTTTAAAATCGGGCGCAAGAATAATGCATAATTTAGGTTATGTTACTTATGTTTTTTTATGATATAAATCCACTTTTCTCTTTGAAGTATCTTTGTGCTTCGAAGTTGGAAACGAATAAAACTTAAATTGACAATTTTTTGTTGTATTTTTACAATTTATAACACAGCATTTCCTAAATCCCATTTTCTTCAGTGACAGAAGGTGTAAATAAACAAAACGAATATGAAATATGACAATTGACAGTATGAATTTATGAAATCTATGAAATGTGCAGTAAAAAAGGCAAGATTTCTCCGCTACTTGCGCACGATCGTTTCTCGTATCCCCTCCAAGTACTTGCACGTCGCCAATAATGAAAAACAGCTTTCTAACTACAAACTAGTTTCTTATGAGTCTATAAAAAGCCGTTAGTATTTCTTCTTCTATATTAGTAAATAGTTGCTCCCGTTACCAATATATTTCTAGTTTTTTTGTCAGTATAGAATTAAGCAACTTTCTAAGTCTAAGAAAGTATTTTTCATTTTTTTATAGTTATAAAAATACTGGTGGACTTTTTAATATTTTACACCTTCGACACATATTGACAAAAACGTCAGAAACAAACGTAAAAATGTAAAAATCAACTTGCTCTATGGAAATATTTGCTAATATCTTCCATAATTTTAATATCATATTTTATATATATATATATATATATATTTTCTAATTGTTTCAGAACCCTTCCTTCTCGATGAAAAAATACTACCAATCCTGGACGAAGTGGAACCTCCGCGTGCCATTCCAGTACCTGTTCAAAACTTGAAGAATGAGTTTGTCAACTCCAACGACACCCAATACTTCCTCAAGGAATTCCAGAATGTGTACGAAGTTGTGGAATTCTCCCATGGCACGCTCACTCCACCTCAGTCTCCCCCGAGTCAACCGATGCTCACCAATCTCGAGCCGCTTCTACAGTATCCAGTGGAACACAAGCATGTTTATGCTCAACCTGAGAAGCAATTTCTGCCAGAGAGCTATGAGATCAACTATTCCTTGCCCGTTAATACTCCTCAGCCTGATATAGCTATGGAGCTGGCCGTCGTGGACGAGCTAGTCAGAACTCGTGTGGAAGACATGCAATGGAGCAGCAGCGGAAGCAGCAGTCCTGGATCCCCGAGCAGTAGTAGCAGTAGCAGCAACTTTGGCGACTGCTCTTCTGATCCGGAATGGATGCCAGAGCCAATTGAACAGTACAACGACGAGCTTCCTTCTAAACCATCCCGCAAAAGGACCAGACCTTACTCCAAAAGCGGCACCGAGGACAAGAAGGTCCGCAAGAAGGAGCAAAACAAAAATGCTGCTACCAGGTATCGCCAAAAAAAGAAGGCCGAGATCGAGGTAATTCTCAGTGAAGAAAAGGGTCTTCAGGACAAGAACGTGGAATTAGGGAGTCAAATCTCTGATCTAAATCGTGAAATTAAGTACCTCAAGGGGCTCATGCGTGATCTCTTCAAGGCCAAGGGTCTCATCAACTAACAAACACAGAAGATAATTAATTTTGGATTTCTTATATTTTTTTTACAGTAAATAGGGATAAATATACAACTTCCAAGGATTTGGTTGATTCTCTTATATAGTTTTGGCAATTTATAGCGTGTTTTTGACGGCACAGTTGTTTTTATATGTTGCATTTAAATTGGACACCTGGAGGGAGAATCATCAAAATGCTTGCACATTTGAGAGAGATGCTTGAGATTCCTTGATATCACGTCTTATTGTTGTGTTCTCGTCAACTTGGGTATCAATGATGATCGTATTGTAGTTAGTTGTCTTAGGAAAGATTTTATTAGGCTTAGAAGGATTGGTGTCTAACATGTGGATTCATTCCATTTGTGAGATGCCATCTCAATTTTTTTATTAATTATATTTCATACATAATCATTGTTTCACTTATAACATAGATATAATTGAATCACTAATAAAAGGTTATCTTAGGTGGGATTTTTGTTTTATTTAATTTATTAGTAATGATAAATAAATTTTCAAAACGGTTTGTTGTCATTATTGATTCAATGAGTGCATTTCTTGAATAAAACAGTTGAAAAGCATATTCCCGGAACGATCAGTCTCAAATTTTATAGATACCGCACAAAGCTTTTACGTAGATGCCTGGATAAAATCGTTGGTCTAGCGCACAGAGCTACTAAGTGAAAAATAGCTAATTCGAGTAATTGCAAAAACAAAGTTTATAACATCATTTAAAGTCAAATAAGTTTTGTTAAAGTTTAAGTCAATGATTTGAAGATTACCAATTGTATTGACGGCATAGAGCATCGCTGTGGCAACGTTTTTATTTCTGTTTTGACCGCAGCATGTGTCAGAAAAGGAAGCTACGTGGCTTACAGTTTTGGGTAGGTCTAATAGATACTGAAGCAGACATGATCCAATCTCAGAACTATCTTTGCTACCATGATTTTCATCCCAGACATAGCAATAACCGTCTCGAGTAGATCCGTCATCGATTGTAAACATTTAGATGGCTTTTGTAATATATCTTTGAATCACCAGCACACGGAACGGGTAGAATAGCTTTCAGATCGAATGGTATTGTTCTAAATGTTTTTCCCAACGTGGCTTCTAGATACATTTACTCTTTGTATCAAAGAACTCTACAGCGTTTTTTGTCTCGTATAGTCTACTAAGATATAGTAATCTGCACACAATTGTACCCTTTGCTCTTCAGAAAGTACTTTTTAACATTTAAACTTGCACTAGAGCAATCTCTTGGAAGAGGACTTTTTTCTGTAATTTCCTTTCCGGAGCGATTAATGTATTTTTTACCACTAATCCTTAACTCTTTCACAATTGATCGTTTCCATTCCTTTTTATTGACCTTTCTGAAGCGACGTTTTTTTTTGATATTTCATTCAGTTCCTGGCTTGTTTTTATTAACATTTTCAATTCACTGTTTTCTTTTGACGGATAATAAGAACTTCCCGATGAAGCATAGGGATTATATTCATCAAGATCACTACCATTATAGGAGTCAAGTTTTCATCAAACAAATTTTCGTTTGTTTCATCAGTTTCCTGTACTTGATTTAGATAATAGTTTGTGTTATATCAATTTCTACATTACCTGGTACTCCTTCAGTAGGAGTACCAACTGAAATTATTTTTAAGTAAAACAAGGTTTTACAGTCGACACCTTACTATACCTTTAAGCTCTTTTCCTACATCATCTAACGCCACCTGTAGTATCTTCTGCGATCTGGACGCCATAATTATAATGACAATTATTTTATACCACTTTTCATAAATCAAACGACAACTTTGCAACTATCACTGTCCCATAACTTCAAAACGCAAAAGAAATATGTATTCACTTCATTCACTTGTAATTATTGCACAAGAAACACAAATGTACTAAGTGCTCTTCCAACCTTTGTGCTAGATTCCTACAATTTATTAGTACTTACCACTTTCGTTAGATGGCGTTCTTCTTCTTCTTTATGTACCATGTCCTTTCAGAACGTTGGTTACCATCATAGCTATTTTAATTTTATTCACTGCCACCCTAAATAGCATGCTTGTATCTACACCATACCAATCTCGCAAGTTCTTCAACCATGAGGTTCTTCTTCGTCCTGGACTGCGTTTGCCTGCTATTTTTCCTTGCATGATATTTTGTAACAATCTATATTTGGGACCTCTCATTACATGTCCGAAATATTCCAGCTTTCTCTGCTTGATGCTTTTTATGATCTCATTAGTCTTGCTGATACGTTCTAGTAATGTGGAGTTACGAATCTTATCCACCCAGGAAACTTTTAAAATTCTTCTATAGCACCATATTTCGAAAGCCTGAAGGCGATTTAGATCGATTTTATTCACAGTCCAGGACTCGACAGCATAAAGTAAGACCGAAAACACGTAGCAGCGAAGTAGGCGGATCCTTAATGCCAATTTTAGGTCTGTGTTACATAACACCTTGGGCATCCTTCTAAAAGCAGCTCTAGCCTGCTCTATTCTGGATCTAATTTCGCCGTGATTTTCTGCATTGCAATTTAATTGCTGTCCAAGGTAGACGATTTTATCAACTTGCTCAAGTTTGGTATTATTTACATATATAGACGGTTTTATATTCTGTTGTTTACTTATTACGAGTAGATGGCGTTAGCTAGTTTAAAATTATAATTATCAGTTAGCTCGAGTATGCATACGAAATTCCTTGCTAGTCTTCATTTCGGAATGCATTTAACTCATTTTGCTAAAAAAGTCACTTAACACCTGTGTGCGCTAGACCGAAGAAATGGCCTGTAATTTTTAGTTCAGTCTGATGTAAACCCCTTTCAATAATTTCTAATAATAACCAAATCCAAACCTACTTCGTAGAAAAACAAATTGAGTACTAAGAACCAAAATGATAATGTGGCGATTACCGCACGATTAGCTTGGTGTCCGATGTGCTAAAGTTACTGCTAGAAGAAAATTAAATTTTAGAGAACATAAATAAAAACAGCGAAAATTTTAGAAGTTTTAATATGCATCGAACAACATTTTTGAATTTCCTAATTATAGAAAATATTTTTATAATGTAATGAAAAGTATTGATTATACAGAATAATAATAAATTCCCTTCCTTTATTTTTCCCCTTTATTTTTAATGACATTCACAATTTTTCGAGGCATAGTTTTTACCAAGTTATCACAAAATTCTAATGCAAACGAATCCCATATTTCTTACAATTTTTCCTTCATTTCGCACCACAAAGTCTCTATCGGAGACAGTTCGGAACGTTAGAAACCCATTCCAGAAGTGGTATGCATATTCTTTAATCCGTTTTAGACTCTTGAGATATGACAACTTGCTCCGTCGTGTTGGAAGACAAAATCTTTCGCTGATGTTAAACGGTGTTCCATAATCGGTAAAAGAGATTCTTCTAAAATATTCAAATATTTGTACCTGTTCACAATTCCATCGATAAAATGTAACTTTCTCACACCTTTAGACGACATGCTACCCCAGATCATGACAGATGCAGGAAATTTGACTTTTCTCTTCAGACAGTCTGGATGGAAAGATTCATTTTTCCTGGGAATGACGCGACTCTTGCTGTCTCCAATCTTCTTCTTCGCCTGACATATCAGAATTATCCGATGTTGGCGATCACCATTGCGAAGGCTTCTCTATCTTCTGCAATATGAAATAATTGTCCTGCATTTGGTATATGAGTTCTATCCATTCATTAATGTTTTTTAACCAAGAAACTTGTTTTCTTCCTACACCTCTACGGCCCTCTATTTTGCCTTTAAGATCAGTTGTAAAATTGTATATTTACTTCCCTTTACTATATGTCCCAGATGAGACATTTTTCGATGTTTAACAGTCTTTAGCAGTTCTCTATCTTTGTTGACTCTCCTTAGTACTTTTTCATTAGTTTTTCTTGCTGTCCAAGGTATCTTCACCATTCGTCTATGAACCCACATTTCCAATGATTTAATTTTATTCACGATCGATACTTTTAGCGTCCACACTTCTGCACTATACAAAAGTACAGACCAAACATAGCACTTATTGCAAAGAAATGACTTCATTTAACATAAAAGTAGTTTTAGTTATTGCTATTCTACGTTTTATTTCTATGTCTGGATCTAGTTGGTCCGTTATCACAGTTCCCAAATATGTCATTTTGTGAACTTTCTCACCTTGGACTCAGTTCAATTGAAGCTTTGCATCGGGATGTGGGTCACGACAACACATTTGGTTTTGTTTATTTTAATGCCCATTTCCTCTCCTACCTCGCGAATACAATCAAGCAGAATTTGAAGACCTTCAATATTATCTGATAGAATTACTGTATCGTCTGCATATCTAATCACATTAAGTAGTTCCACGTTAATTTTTATTCCATATGGTTGTCTCTTAAGTGCCTTTTAAAATAACTGGCCCGAGTAAACATTGAATAATGTTGGCGACAAAATGCAACCTTGTCTGAATCCTCGTTGTATGGGGATTTCATCGGTGTAGTTATCTCCAATTTTTACGATAGCAGTTTGATTCCAGTATTAATTTTTAATGACACGAATATCCTTGTCATCTATTCCGATATTTTTCAGTATTTGCATTAATTTTACATGCTGTACTTTATTGAATGCCTTTTCGAAGTCCACGAAACATGTAAATATATCTTTTCTTTGGTCACGGCATTTTTGTAATAGGATGTTAAGCGCAAAAAGTGCCTCCCTGGTTCCCATAGCATTTCTAAAACCAAATTGGGTATCTTCGCAATATCTTCACATTTGCGTCTAATTATGTTGTGAAGTATTTTCACCACCCTGATAATTTTCCACCGCTGAAGCAATTTTATTTCTAAATATTAGCTGGATATCTAACTATATTCTGCTGGCTAAATATTCGAGCCAACTGAATTTAAAAAAATAATATATTTTTGAAATACCACAGTGTTTTGAGAGGTTTTTAAAATTTATTCGCACCCTATTAATTTTTCACTTCTTAACTACTCCTTGTGGGAAGTCAATATTAAGCTATTAAGCAGAAGTTCGAATATTAAGCTATCTAATTCAAATAAACATTACCACATGAATCTGCTCGATTTTTACTAATTTTTCGCCTCTTAACTAACCCGTGGTAGCTTAGGTTAAAATAAAAAAATGTATATTTTAAATACCACTGTATGCTACAAAGCTTTTCCAATTCATTTACCACCTTCACAATTGTTTACCCCTTTATAAGAAACCAATAATTCTGCCAGGTTTAATTTTGAACAGACAAAAAAAAATTATAAAAGTTAATTTTAATAATTTTTTGTATTGTACTTTTACTTCAACCTTTTACTATTTTTTGCTATCTTCATATTTTTCACGTAACGCACTGGGCATACATTCCGCACTTTACATTCTAATTTTGGGGGCGTAAAATCGTACTTTTCGTCCAGTAAAAAAAAGACACGTTTTCACATTTTAAGAGTTAAAAATCA